CGTGGAGGATAGGAGGGGTGGAGGTGCCATGCGGAGTGAAAGGCCCTGTCGCTAATGTGACAAGGGCAAAAAAAAAAAAAAAAAGGTAATTGGATGGTGAAGTGTTCGAAGGACAGAGACAGGAGGAGAAGGGAAGAGCGGAGAGAGAGAGAGAGAGAGAGAGAGAGAGAGAGAGAGAGAGAGCTGGTGGCAACCCACCTCAAGCGGCTCGATGATTCCTCCTCGCTCCTGCTGCCTGCTCCAGCTGCCTCCTGCTGTGTGCTGCTGCCTGCTGGTGCCTCCTGCTGCCTCCTGCTGCCTCCTGTTTCTTGCTCGGGCTGGTGCTGCTGGTGACAGGCGGGCACGACCAACGACGAATGACGGCACGACGGCCGCCAAGGACACAAGGCACAACTGGTGGGTCGGTGAAGTGCCGGGGTGCCCAACGGGCGGCGTGGGGGAGGCCTGAGTAGTTCGAAAACGAACTACTCAGATCTCCCCCCAAAAAAATTTACCGGGCCTCCGCGCAGCCCGGAAAAAAAAATTCGCGCCCACGGAGGCAATTTCCCCCCGGTACCCCTTCCGGGCCTCCCACCCCCCGCTGAACTTTTTTTTTTTTTCCACGACCCCTGTTTTGGCCGATGCGCCGCATGCCGTGCGCGCGCTTGCTGCGCTCTGCGCTCTGCGCTCTGCGCCGCACGTGCCGCGACGCCGCGCACGGCATGCGCCGCAAGTATGATTAATGGTAATGGTGGGGGCTGTAATGTAGTCGGTTACGTTCCTGGTTGGAGTCTGAGAAGGGTGAGCGGTTGAACCCTTTTTTTTTGTATAATAATTTAATAAAGATATTTTGTGTACCAATCTCTCGTGTGATTCATGTGTCGGGAACACTCGTCTGGATGCTCGTTGCATGTGTGGGAGGTTGAGGTTGGTTTTGACTTGGTGTCATTGCACTGCAATGTTGTGGACGCCGGACGCAGATTACTGGTTGATGTGCCAGATGCCGAGAACAGAGCGAAGATATTGAAGGTAATCTTGGCAGAGGAGGAGCTCGAAGAGGGATTCAACATCGAAGAGCTAGCAGCGGCTACAGATGGCTACACTGGCAGCGATCTCAAGGTACGGCAGCAGAGACTGGTACACCTCATCAGCTGTGAGTCCTTTTGGAAGGATGAAAGGAATAATGAATGTCATAAGACCACTGCTGGGTGAATACCCACTTGTCCATCGTATGTAGGTAAGATAAGTAGCGAAGTAAGGCATTCAATCATGAAAAGTTTTGGACTTTTGATTGCTGTTGCAATGAATACCCACCAAGTTGCTGTTTGACCTCTATGGAATTAGCTAGTGGGGAGTCCTTAACAAGAATACGGAAGTGGTGACTGGCACGATGGAAGCCCAATTTCGGTTCCTATCTCTTATAGCAGCAAGTTAGTGATTCCTTCCAAATGGCTCTGGTGAGCTGAACGTGAGGGCGGAAGGATCTCGGCTAGCCAGAGCCATTTCAGAAGGATCTCCGATCGCCACCGGATCTTTGCAGCGGGCCTTTTTCCCCGCAACCTATGGTGGTTGCCCTCTCCATCGACGACCCTCTATTGGCAATGCTCTTCAGTCACATGACAAATTTCTCAAGCTTGCTTCTGAGGTAAACGATCCATTTGATATGATGGGTTTCCGTGGTGAATGGTCGAGTTGATGTTATGGTTTTCCGTCGAAGTCCCATCTTTCCTCAAGGAAAGGGGGGGAAGGGGCTCCTGACAATCTCTCGTTGGTGTGGTGGTGGTTGCGAGGGTCTTGACACCCCTTTCGTTGACAGTCATTTGCATTGGTGGTGGTGATGGGGCGAGGCGCTTTCCTCCCCGCAATCACTCTCATCCACAGGTTCCAGCAGGAGTAAATGCAGCTCGTCTCGGGGTGTGGATTTTGTGCCCATCTCCAGGGCTCTGCGTTGCTCTTTCTTGGGTAACAGGCTGCCTTTGTGTGCTTTTTTCCTTTTTTCTTCCTTAACAGACCCGAGCCTCTTTCTGCTGAGGTGGATTCCCCCTGCGCTCCAAGCTTTGCGAAAACGCCAGCACAACGCTTTTCTTTTCTTTTGGCTGGCGACGCCATCCACTTTGGTCCGGTGGCACTGTTCATTTGAAGTCTTTGGAGTGTTGCATTTGCGACTCTCGACTTGCCTGGGAAAGGACGTGGTAGTTTAAGGTCAAAGCACAACACTCCGAAGACTTCTTTAAGGATCTTTGCTTTCTTTCTTCGTGCATGCTGTTTTTTAGAGCGCCAGTACCCCTCGTTTGCGCATGCTGGAAACTGGGTGCATTTTTCAAACCACTGGTACCCCGGCGAGCTATTGATGCTGAGCGCAACTCCTGACTTACCTGGGACCTTTTCTTTCTTTGTTTACGACACTTTATGCATGCTTAAAACTGGGTCTATTTTTTAACCACAAGTACCCCGCCCAGCTATTGATAATGATGCTGTGGCATACTGCGCAGCCACACGGGCCTGCAGAGCCCGACCAGTGTTGTCTCAGCCTAAAAGCCTGAAAACAAGGGCCTACAGGCCCTGTGTCGTTTCAGCCTAAAAGCCTGAAAACAAGGGCCTACAGGCCCTGTGTCTTCTCAGCCTAAAAGCCTGAAAATGAGGGCCATTTTCAGGCCCTCATGAAGTCGACCTGCCCTGAAACTTAGGCACCAGACCAGGGTTTTAGCACAGGCCATTTCGGGACTGTTTTCAAGACAACCTTTGTTTGAACTTCAACGCCAGGGTCTGGCACGTTTTGGCATTGGCAAGAGCAGCCTCCTGGACGGGCCAGCACTATGTAAGACTGGCCCGCCCTGCAGGCTGCAGGTAGTCACGAGGTAGTTCATAGGGACTTTCCAGGCACTTCACGTGCAGGAGGCAGGAGGCAGTCTTCAGGATTCGGCAGCAGCACTCTGGAGGAGCGCTGCAGTAGTAATAGCAGCGATTAGCACTAGTCTTCAGCGTTGGGCGCTATTAGGAGCTAGAGTAGCGTTAGAAAGAGAGAGAGATGGTTGGCGGAGGCCAGGGAGACTTACCTGTGGCACCATAGCTCCAGCTTCGTCTTCGATGTACCTGCAACAAGGCGCCACCTTCACAGGTTAGTACCGACTGTGTGTGTGTGTGTGTGTGTGTGTGTGTGTGTGTGTGTGTGTGTGAGAGAGAGAGAGAGAGAGAGTTCTTCTTCTTCCTCTTCTAAGTCCACCATCTCTCCCTCACCCTCTCGCTACCTAACTTCTCAGTATCTGCAGACTACGAGAGAGAGAGAGTTCTCAGTATCTGCAGACTACGAGAGAGAGAGAGAGATTGGTGACTTTGGGACTTGACGACATTTGGAGACATCCAACTCAGTGGCCTGCGCCAAAGTGAAACAGGCTCCCAGAGCCAATCGCCACCCAGATGATGAAGAAGAAGCCCAGCGCCAACAGTCCCTGATGAAGATGAAGCCCAGACGATGATATCCTCTGAGAAGATGCAACTATGGCTGCATCGCCACTGGGACCCCACTCCTGAGGAGGGTCAGCAGTGCACCACGTGCTCCAACGCATCAGACCTCTGATAGCCCAGACCGCTTTGACTCCCAAAGAGTCCGAGTGGACAGCGTTGACCCCAGTCTGGTCAGCGCTCCGAAGGTCTGGCTATGTCCGCCGTCTCCAACAACGGAATCAGCCACCACGACCTGATACTGTGTGCGCAGCCACTTCCACCACGAAGTGTCAACTGCCAAAAGCCCAGGACCGATGTCCCCATCCTATCTATACTCTACTACTAGCCTAGACTGACCCAGACCGGACTGACTGACCGACCGGTATCGTTTCTGTTTTGGCCTCTAGGGCCTCTCCGTACCCGGCTATAGGCTATAGGACTGTCTATCAGCGTAGGCCCATAGGGCCTGTCTGTCCTAGGGGTAGCCCGGGTCTGCTATTCGCAGTTAGGGTAGCTGTAGGAAATTCGAGTTAGTACTGGGCCCATATTTCCTATATTTACAAATATGTCCCTCACGAGTTTTCCTTACAGGTAGGTCTCTCGGTTAGCCCTCAGCCAAACAAAATTACGAATCTGTCCCTACTTATGGTACAGCCTCGTCTGAGAGAGGCTACAGGCAACCTGGAACCAGCAAGTCATTGCAATAATGTATGTTTGGTCTGCATTGCAACATTGATTGTTCGGATCATTGGTATATTAGCCTTTTGCTGCGCTATTTTGTACTATGTGAGAGAGGTCGGTTCTTGTTCTGGTCTGTACCGTTACTGTATGCGACAGATGCCGAGCGCAATTCTCGACTTGCCGGGGAAAGGATGTGGTGGTTTGACGTCGAAAAGTTGGACTTTTTCTTTCGTTGATTGTGCGTGCTAGAAACGGGGTGTGCATTTCTTAAACCACCAGTAACCTGCCAACTGACACGGGCCTGCTTTTGGCTGGTGCAGTCGGCCATTTCAGTCCAGTTAAAATGAATCTTCTGGTACAGCATGGGAAGAGGGGCCCAGCTCCCACTGCTCACCAAATGTGCACAATGAGAATAATGTATCTTTCCGGCAGAACATCGTAATCCACATTGCGGCTGATGTCCAATGACCACCACTATCGGAAAATCAACGGAACGGCAGAGGTTTCGGTGAATCAACAGGTTCTGGAAGAAGAACAGTGGCGGTTTGGGCCTGCGAAAGTTAACTCTGGCCATAAGGTCATGCTTTTTTTTTCTTTTTCTTTTTGTTCATTTTTAGAGTTTCCATTTTTTCCCCTTGTTTTTGAGTTGTAGCAGTTGTTATAGCCTGTGTTGCCGCTCGTCAGTGAACCCGTGTTTCGCGTTCAGCTGTTGAACGCACTAATTGCGTGTTTACTTAGCGGGGCTGAACGTTTTTGACGCATTCGCACAGAGGCCCTTGTGGCCGGGAGGGGCGGGTTTGGGGTGGGCCTGGGGTGTGGGTTGTGGGGGGGGGAAACGGCCCTGAAAAAAATAAACGAACAAAAAGTTGCAAAAACAAAAAAAAAAAGCAGAAAACGGCCCCGATTGGTTGATAGATTGATTGATAAGTTTGAACAATTAATCTGAAAAGAAATGTGTGCGCGTGCGTGCACACACACACACGTGGCCAGCTGCCTCCCGCTGCCTCCCTCGCTCCCGCTCCAGCTTCCGCCCTCTCTCTCTCTCTCTCTCTCTCTCTCTCTCTCTCTCTCTCTCACGTGCACGTGTGTTGTCATATTTGTTATAAACAACTCCACAAAAAAAAAATCCACCAAGAAAAAGAAAAAAAAGAAGCAATGCCAGAGTGAAGGCCATGTGTGTGTGTGTGTGTGTGTGTGTGTGTGCGTGTGGGTGGGGTGGAGGGCGACCCCCTCCCAATCAATCAACCAACCAATCAATTAATCAAAGCCAATCAGTCAGTCAATCAATCAATCAGTCAATCAGTCAATCAGTCAACTTAGGTTGATTGATTGATTGATTCCAAATACAATGAACGATCCCCCCCCCCCCCCCCCCACACACACAAAGAAAGAACAACAAGGGGGGGTTCGCGTTGGGGACGCCACACTTGTGTGTACTTTTGTGCTTAATGAATTGCGTTGACGTGAGTTGTGTCATCTGCGAGATGTGTGGATTTTGATCTACTCGGCTCAAATTGACCGGAATTGACACATGCTTTTTCTGAACTTTTCTCTCTGATCATCTATCTTATGGACATTGTGCAGAACTTATGCACTACCGCTGCGTACAGGCGTATAAGGGAAATATTGGAGAATGAGAAGAAGGTAAGATATATCGTCTTTGCCTCAGCGTTGTGTGACAGGCGTCTGTTCTCACACAATAAAAAAGGAAAAAGGACAAAGGGAACTTGGCTGTTTAGAAATTAGCAGTCCTTTCCACATGTCTTTTTGGGTTGAGGGAACTTGAGCCCTATATTGACAGAGGGAACAGACAGTCTCCTGAATGGATGGGCAAGACTGGCAGTCAATCCTTTCTAAGGGAAGTAAATTCAAGTAATCAATGCTGTTAGGGTTCCCCAGGCCGTTACGTGGTGAAACACTGAAGTTGGGTATACAATGACTACACATGCATTTTCGACACAATAGTTCCCCAGGCCGGTGGAGTCGGAACAGGACTAATCCTCACCAGAATAGGAGTAGCAAGGGATCTCCAAAGAAAAGAAAAGAAAGAAAGAAAGAAAGAAACAACTCTACTCTTCTCCACACTATTGGCACAGGCCTGTTAGACAATGTTGCCAGATGATAGTGATCATATGGTATCCAAGGTGGCAAAAGGAAGAAAAAAAAGTCAAAAAAAGGAAGAAGATTCGGGGTGCACTCAGGGACAGAAGAAGCAAGTAGGGATTTTTTTCTTTTGGGCACTGTTTTAGTATGGGTCGTACTATGCGACCCTTGGAATCAGACTTGTCCCAGTTCCCAAACAAAAAAACAAAACAAAAAAAAAAAAACCGTCCCAGTTCTTGTCGTGTTTGGCTTTGCAATGAATTGCACGTTGCTGGTGTTAACAATGTGTGACTGTGTTTGCCATTTCCCAGTTCTGAGCCTTTGCGGGACTTGATACCGTGACCTATATTTCGTGTGTGTTGTTTACTAGCTTAGAGTCCTACTGGGCTTGATCCTTGAACCTGTCGCTAGTAGTCTCTATTTGGCAGTCTTAGGCCTTTCAGCCTTGTTGTTTTGTCCTTTTCTGCTCTTGTGGAAACCGGTAGGCCCGTAGGCCTTTCTTTTGTGTGTCCTAGTCTTGGGCCTTTGGTCAAGGTTTCCATCTAGATGCATGTAGGTAGATCTTGACTGTTTGGATGTCAGATAGGTCTGTAGTTGGTTGCTGTGTTGTAGGTCTAGGGAAGTTGGGTAGAAGTAGGCGGAGGCCAACAAATTGTAGGTCTAGGGAAGTCGGGTAGATCTCGACTGTTTGGACGTCAGATAGGTTTGTAGGTGGCTGCTGTGTTGTAGGTCTAGGGAAGTCGGGTAGAAGTAGGCGGAGGCCGACGAATTTCGGGTTCTCTTTTCATTTTTCTTTGGAAGTGGCGACGTGGGCAGCACTATTTCCAGCGCCCAGTCTTCTTCAACTTCGGGGGGAACTTAAACAGCCATAGCTGGGGTGCTCTGCTGCTTGAGGAGGCAGCACCTGAAGTAGGTCTTCCAGGTGCTGATGCCACTGCCATCACGCTGCTGTTCGTGGGGGTTGAAGGACGCTGCTGTTCATCAAGCGGCTTGTTGCTGGTTGCTGCCATACCAGTGCAGCCATCACCTCTTCATCGAGGTTCACCCTCTTCTTCACAGCGGTTTATGGCGCTGCTGTTTGATGCCTGGCTCATGCCAGATCAGCGCCTGTGCTCAGAGGCTCGGGGTATGATTGGACGTTGTTTGAACAGTGAACTATCATTAGAGGCTGGGGGTCGTAGGGAGAGGTGAAGTTTCACTGAAACTTTGTTGAAGTGTATTGTGGGGGGTTAATCGGAGGTGGAACTGAATTCCTGGTTGGGATCCTTCGAGTTCTTCGATTGAGAGGAGGAGAGCAGGGGGTTTCATAAATGATTGATCAAAACATTTTTCTCTCAATTTTTATATCTGGTTTTGACTTCCGCTGTGCAATATCTCTCCATGGCTATGGTGTGAATCAGCTCTCCATTCTGCCTGTCAGCAGAGGAAAGTAATGAACGTTTGAATGCAGTTTTCAGTTGTGAATCAATCGAGCACATAACGGCTGTCTGATTGACATCCATGACGTAAAACAGGGGGTTTCATAAATGATTGATCGAAACATTTTTCTCTCAATTTTTATATCTGGTTTTGACTTCCGCTGTGCAATATCTCTCCATGGCTATGGTGTGAATCTGCTCTCCATTCTGCCTGTCAGCAGAGGAAAGTAACGAACATTTGAATGCAGTTTTCAGTTGTGAATCAATCGAGCACATAACGGCTGTCTGATCGACATCCATGACGTAACTTGTAAGGCATACAGAAGAAAGTAAAGTGGGGAAAAAGGTAAAGAAAAAGATTCTATCTTTTTTGTTGCCAGGGCAGCGAAGTTGACGTGTGGAAGAGGTGATTTGAACCCTCGCAGTTTCGAAAAGCGAGATTCATCACGAACAGTTTCGCTTTCTAAAAGTGAGATTCGTCCCAAACAGTTTTGCGAAAACAAGCCTTTTAGCAAGGGTACTAGTTTATTCGCATAGTTGCATCGCACCTCGGTGCGCGGATCTGCGCACAAATTGCGCACCGCACAGCGCACCGAAGCGCAGCGCACTGGAAAAATTAGGTCCAAAAAAAAAAAGAAAAAGTATAGGTTTTGTAATTTCTCAGGGCCCCCAACTCGGCAAAAATGTTAAACTCACCGCGCAAGCTCGGAAACCGGCCATGCCCCCGGCCCGGATTTTTCTTTTGGGTAAGGGCTGCCAAATTCCAATTTCTGCAGGCCCTTCCCCCAGAAGTTTCAGAATGGCGAAGCATAAAATAGGGCTCATTCCAACTTTTCTTTTAGCCGGGGTATGGAAGCTGTCCCCGCTCCCGTGTGGGATAAGTTCGCAAGAAGGGGTAGTCGTCTAATAACGACCTGCTCCGCGAAGCTTCGCAGACGTCACAAGTTGCGTTTTCCATGGCCAGCCGACCACCGATATATACTGAAGATTGGCGTTCAGGTCTGCATGTCGGCAGTTATGGGTTAGGATGAAGATGCCCGTGGCTCTCTCGTTTTTTGGTTTTTGTTTTCTTACGAATACGTCCAGTGGGGCCTGCTCCACTACTCACCAAATGCACAAAAGACATATGTATGGTTCCATGTTTTAGCAGAAGATTCATTCTACTAATATTATATACACTTGGTGAGTGGTGGAGGGAGGCCCTGAGAATCACGTGGAGACACGAACAGGGTCTAGCTGAATTGGTGACCCATAACTGCCGAGCTACAGCCTTGAACTCGAATCCACAGCATATATTGGTGGTCTGCCCCCATCTCTTCCACACATGACAGAGGCCATACACATGACGAGGCCATCCTTCTCAATTGAAGCAGTGGCCCTTAATGGCTCCACATGTATTGTAGGAGCCATTCGAGGTACCTGCAGTGGCCCTTAATGGCTCCACATGTATTGTAGGAGCCATTCGAGGTACCTGCAGGGGCCCTCGAATTGACGCGAAGGGGACCCTTTGTTGTCTCTCTCTCTCTCTCTCTCTCTCTCTCTCTCTCTTGGGGCCTGTCCTTTTTTTTTTTTTTTTTTTTTTAATCACACACAGGGCGCACCGCCCTCGGCGCGTGCACTGCGCACTGGTGTGCCGCAACTATGTTTATTTGTGTTCAAGTGTGTCTGGAACGGCAAAAAGGTCAGTGGAGAGGCTATGCAAAGAGCTTCCTAAGCATCAGACCAAGCTAAGCTGGTGCAGGTAGTAGGAGCGTATGGGTGGCGCTGAGCGTGCAATGTCTGGATTTAGGGTCATTGCTTGACAGCGGCCTCCTTTCTTGGTCCAATGGACGGTCCTGTGCAAGGGTGTGGAGGGCACGGTGGTGTCGTGAGTGGCCGTCTCCTCGCCAGATCAGCTGTTGTAGTGCATGCCACATCGCTGCAGTTGGCAATGAGTTATGCTGTCCGTCTGGTGTAGTGTTCGGCTGTTAGCGAAGCGGTCACTGAGACATACCACACATTCAGCTGGCGGTGAGTTATCCAGCATCAGGCTGCAGGCACACTAACTGACTTTGATCTGGGAAGGACAGCTTATCCTACAGGCTTGGGTGTGGGTGCACTGCCGTGTGATGCCCAGTGGTAGTGTGCTGGTCAGCCGAGACGTAGCTTATGAGACAGACTACAGCGTGCAGTTGGCACAACTAGGGAGTGAGGTGGGCGGCATGGAAAACCCTACTGCCGCATGGGGCTTGTTATGCCTCATGGCGACGACTGGTCCAGAAAGGAGTGACGTTCGACGCCGAGCTCTCTCCATTGTTTTAACGAGGTTGCCGAATATTTATCATTACCGTCTTCACCCAAATAGAGCACCAGGTCTTTCTTTCTTTCTTTTTTAATATAAAGGTTTTGCAGGCTGAGGTATAGGAGGGCCCTACCCTAGCCTCCAGTGCTTTTTAGCTGTACTTGGGGCAAACTTCGAGTTTAGATAAAGCTATAATGACCATATGTTCTCTTCAGGGGAAGACAGCAGTCTATTGGGTCTGAGCTAAGAAAGAGCAGTAGTTATGTTTGACATTGCTTAGCGCTGCTGAGACCATGCTCTCAGTACACTCGGTCTGAGCTAAGAAAGAGCAGTAGTTATGTCTCGGCATTGCGTACGCTAGGTACTTTCGGTCTGAGCTAAGAAAGAGTAGTAGTTATGTATCGACTGGGGGACCTGTTGCGGCTACACCCGCAATAAAAAAGGAATGTTTGTCAAGAAGTTGGACTCTCTCTCTCTCTCTCTCTCTCTCTCTCTCTCTCTCTCTCTCTCTCTCTCTCTCTCTCTCTCTCTCTCTC